TGTGACATTCTCGTAAGAACGTATTGATGAGTGTAGATATTCTAGTGAGGAGCCCGTCATTCTGAGCAGCGGTGATTTGCTTCAGCCCAGTCTCCGGGCTCTGGTTTCGGAGGTGAGGACGCACCCTTGGAGCTGTGTCTGCATCCAGCAGGTTCAGGGCTGCCCGCCAGGTGCCCTTCCTGCACGCTCACTGTGGCCAGCCCCGTGCCACGCCACCCGGCGTCCTCTGAAGGTGCGTCCCTGGCAGGCGAGATGCACATGAGATATTGTCCTGGCCGGGCAATTTGCACGGCCTTCCAGGGAGGGCATTAGCATATAAATAGCAGATGCAATGACGACCATCACAGCTGAGCACGTTTAATTTTTAGTTTATAAGATAGAATGGGTTTTTAAATGCATAGCCATCAAGGCGCTGAAAGACAAATGCAGTTTGGAACTCACTTGTCTGACGAGGCCTTACATCATTTTTTTTTTTTAAGAGGGAAACAGACACACATGAAACTGAACAAAAGTGATTTCTTGGGTGAAAAGTAATTGAGACCGCGCACCAAGTTAATTAGATCGTACAAAATTTATTTAATGGCCCCAGCTGTATCTCTCAGCCTGCGTGTGGCGGGCGGACCTGCCCCTTCACACGGGCCTCTTCCCTTCCTTCTCAAATAATTAGTAACCTCGCCACCCGACTACTGGGAACTGATTGCATTGTATATTTTAGCCGTTTTATTGCTTGTTTAATTATGATGATGGAGGCTCATTTTTCTAAATCCTTTTAAGTGTGGGTGAGAATCCGTCTGTATGAAACCGGCAGAGGCCCCGAGTGTCCTGCGTGCCTCCCCGAAGAGCCGGGTTCCGTTGGAGGCACCATGTGCACGGCTGGACGTGGCGCTCCGTGTCAGGGGTCTGTAGCTTCCACACTGTGGATCTGCCTCGGGAGGCTTCCATGCAGGGGACTTCCTCCATTAGGAAAGGTGCGGCACAGGTCACGGTGCCCTCGGGGGGATGGCCTGCGGGTGACCTGCACCTCCCATGCCCCTGCCTCATCACAGGAAACTCAGCCTCCAGGTCGGGATCAAAGCAAACTGCTCTTGAGAGCCTTTTCCAAACTTAACCTCATTGCATGACATCTCCAGTCCCCGCGCCGCCATAGAGTGTGTGATCTCCGTTTCAGGATTCCTGCTCATCCAGAGCCCCCAGTGCCGGTGCCCAGCCCCTCAACACGGCATGTAGACACGTGGTGCTGGCCCCTGGCTCATCTGTCCCTGAGCTTGAGGGCCGGTGGCCACTGCCTCTCACCACTTGGTGATGTGACTTCTCAGAGGTGAATTGGATGCGTGTGGGAACACGTGGAAGAGCTGCTTAGTGTGGGGCCTCACTCTCCCTTTGGGCTCCAGTGCACTTCGAGACCTCAGGGAGCTCTGTCCCTGGTGACCATGCTGTTCCTGTCCTCTGAACAGGCCTGTGAACAGCTACCCAGCCTCCTGGGCTCACAGCTCCCCACCTTCAGCACCCCCGCCTGTCCCTGACATTCAGCATGTCAGAGGCCACTGCACTGTGGGTTTCAGACGCGAGAGTTTGTCTCGTGTGAATCAAAATCTGAAAACAGCAGCTTTCAGCCTTGCGTTTAGTAGTAGCAGGGAAGTCCCTAAATCCTGAGTTGCCGTGGTTTGGGGGGGTCACCACAGCCTCTAAATAGTTTCAAGCTGAAGTGTGGATAGGGGCTGTGGTAGGCTCTTGCCCGGGAGAAAGCCCTGGGCCTTCCTGAGAGGTGAAGATCCTCCTGCGGGACCTGGCCAGTGTGACAGAGTGAGATACTCAGCAAGACCAGGGTGGCCTCATCAGCGCTAATTCAGGAACAAAGGGGAACCCAGGGCTCCAAACTTAAATTACAGAAATGAACCATTTTAGTTGGGGAGAAAGAAGGTATAATTCCTAATAGTTAGCTCAGCAGTTAAATGTTTTTTAGGAAATGAAAATTTGATAAAAGTCCCTGATGAAATTCAAGGGTGCGAGCAATAAGCATAATATTTTCTGAAAATGACCCCCATATTTAAAATCTGGCACTATATGTTATGCATTGTAGCACCCAGTCCACATCTACCTTTTAGAAAATTAAAACACATAAATTCTGTTTAGTGTTTGATACGCACTGCACTGGCTGAGAACCGTAATGCCCTGAAACCTTGGGCTGCTTTCCACCTTTCATAAATTCCTGGGCAGGTTCTGTACAGAAATAATTTTCAGGTCCGTGGCTTGTTGTTATTCAGACGTGATGGATTGCCGTCATTTGCTCAGTGCGGGAGTTAAGTGTCCCCGTCATTTCCAAAGAGTATAATTGGGACGTTTCACAGGTCAGCGGTGGAGACAGGCTTCCCTTTTGATCAGTGTTAGACTGATAACAAAAATTACAGTTTCCGGTGATTAATGTCTCCTGTGTTTCCCAGATGCATCGCCAGTGGGCTGCTCCTAAACAAAGTGCACTTGGTCTGACGATGCTGGTGTTGGGGCCACCTCCCAGCAGGGTGCTGGGGCCTGGGCCCTGTGGCCTCCTGTGGCTTGGCTCCATGGGGCCTGACTCCTTGGAGGCTGGTTCCGTGGGGCCTGACTCTGTGTGGCCTGGCTGGGTGGGGCCTGGTTCCTTGTGGCCTGGCTTTCTGTGGCTGGCTCCATGTGGCTTGATTCCATGTGGCCTGGCTCTGAGGGGGCTGGCTCCCTGTGGTGTGGCTCTGTGGGGGCTGGTTGCGTGGGGCCTGGTTCCATGGGACCCGACTCTGGCCTGGCTCCTTGTGGCCTGGTTACATGTGGCCTGGCTCTGTGTGGCCTTGCTCCGTGGGGGCTGGCTGCATGAGGCCTGGTTCCATGTGGTCTGGTTCCATGTGGCCTGGCTCTGTGGGGCTAGCTCTATGTGGCCTGGTTCCATGTGGCTTGGTTCCATGTGGCCTGGCTCCATGGGGGTTGGCTCTGTGGGGGCTGGCTTCATGTGGCCTGGCTCCATGGAGCCTGATTCAGTGGGACCTGGTTCCGTGGGGACTGGCTCTGTAGGGCCTGTTTCAGTGGGGGCCGTCTCCGTGGGGGCTAGCTGTGGAGCCAGTGGTCCCCTGCTTACTCGGGCTTCATTTCCGGTGAACATGTGGGCTCTTGCCCTGAGGATCAGGCTCTTCTTCAGTTGTTCTTCCCTGCTTCAGGAAACAAAGCTGGGATTGTGGGTGCTTTGAGGTGTTGCTGCTGGGAATGCTTTTTAAAAAATGACAGTGTGTGTCATAGTGATTCCGTTTCCCAGTTTTCCTCTTATAAACCCTTTAAGGGTTCCCCTGCTTGGTATTCCTCCCAACAAGGATCTCCCTTCCAGGACATTTCTCTCAGCTGTGCTGTGGGGCTGTGGGAATGCAGGCACCTTCACCATGGGGGCTCCTCCACCCCCAGGGACACCTCCACCCAGAGATATCTCCACTCCCACCACCCAGGGACACCTCCACCCGGGGCACCTCCACCCCACCGCACCTCCACCTGGGGGCATCTCCATCCCACCACCCAAGGGCACCTCCACCTGGGGGCATCTCTACCCTGGCCACGCTGGGGGCATGATCTTCAGCTGCCCTAGTAGCCCTGCTAGCTTGTCTCCTGGCATGAGGGAGCTGAAGGCAAGGAAGGACCACCCTGCTGTGCCGAGCCCACACAGCACCCCGCTCTGTTGGTAGCAGAACGCCAAGCTGCCTTGTGGCCATAACGGCCAAGACAAATTGCGGGAGGTGCCTGCCAACCTGCCGCCTGCCCTGCAATAAAGTTTCCACTTTATAACTGTTCCTGGGGGGCCTGGCTCTGGGAACCAGCCCCCATGGAGCAGGTGTTTGTGGTGGGTGAGCTGTGGGCAGGGCTCTCAGGGAAGGATGATATGGCCTGGGGTTTGCGTGCCAGCTCCCACAGCCCATCTTGGCCAGTGAGAAGGTGAGGCGGAAAAGAGCCTGTCCATGGCCACTTGGGAGCACGTGGGCAGAGCAGGCATCGCCCGCTGTGTGGCTGTGTTACTGAGCTGTGGGCTCACTGCCCAGCGCACACAGAAGCCAACGCTACAGTACCAGCTCTTGGGAACAGAGAAGGTTATCTATCACAGGGCAGGCAGCAGGTTGGCAGCGCCTCCCGATTGGTCTTGGCCCTATTATGGCCACAAGGCAGCGTGGCGCTCTGCTCCCAACAGTGGGGCTCCGTTACAGCTGCGGCCATGGTCTCTTGTGCTACGGCCCTACTGTGTGGAGGGGCCACTGTCTCCCTCTGGCTTGATGAGATGCTTCACTACGCAGATCCCTGCCTCTGCCCACCGAGTTGGGTGCAGGAAGGGGCAGGGTGCGCTCAAGGAACTGGCTTTTCTCGGGAAAAAGAAAGCAAGCCTTCCTTCCGTTCTCTAGCTCCTCAGTGGGAGGAGGGAGGCGGGGTGACAGGAGGGCTCTCAGACTCAGTGAGGGATCCCCCCACAGCAACCCTGGCAGAGAAGTGACCTTGTTAGAAGGAAATTGAGGTGGTTTTTATAACAAGTCCTCAAGGACAGAATGTTCCAGAAGTACCTGTCCCTTCCTGTTGTCTGACATGCTGTGGTCATACCAGCACCACGGGAGAACCCTGTGTGGGAAGGTGGCCCTGGCCTGTTGCCTCAGAGCAAACGCACCTGCTCCACCTGGCGGGAGGATAACTCCCATAGGCCAGGGTCCATTCAGGGACAGCAGCTCCCACAGTGACCTGGGGAGTCAGCCAGGGAGGGTTATGGTTGGTGGTTTCAACATAGACTCTAAACAGCCCCCAATACAGGGCAGTGCAGAGGTGGTGTAATTTGGGGGACCAAGAACAGCCTTGAAGACGACCTTAAATGCAGTCCAGCTATGGCTGATGCTGGAGTCCTGACCAGGAGAAAAAGCTCCACAACAAATGGGACTCTGCAGGGCTCTGCCTTTTTAGAGCTGTGCTCATACACAGGGTCTGGGGTTGATTTGTTCTGGGGCGTTTTTCCACAGACTGAAGCCCTGGGGGCTGGGGAGGAAGACGAGGACGATGAGGACTTTGTGGAGGTGCCTGAGAAGGAGGGGTATGAGCCCCACGTCCCTGACCACCTGCGGCCTGAGTATGGTGAGCAGTGGGCCCCACTGGGTGCCTGGGCGGAGGGTCCCCACTCAGGATGTGACTCCTTGGGGCCGTGCCCTCGGGCAGGTCTTGTGTCACTGCTGCTTTGGTTTCAAATGGTGCTTTTCCTGCCTGTGTTCATAGCCACGAGGCTAAGAAGTTACGTGCAGGCTTTTCCTTTGGTGCTCTGGCTCTGTCTCAGGCCTGGGGCCCTCCCTGCAGCCTGCCCCAAGGCGGGCTCCCTCTCCGCTGGTCCTGCTGGTCATCCTTTGCCAGGCAGGCACTCAGGTGCCCAGGTCTGGGGCAGCGGCCACCATCCTACCCTTGGTTCCTGTGTGGGGAGGCCCCGGCACACAGGCCTGCCCTAAGGACACAAAGGGCAGGTCCTGACCTCGACCCCTGTGCCGTCAGCAGCCCTGCTCAGGAACAGAGAGGGTGGGCTCCTTGGACTTGGGGTTTGTGGGTGTGATTCCTGCAGTTACAGGAGCCGTGGCTGGCAGGTGGGAGGGGCTGCCACCCCGTGCCCTCCAGGCTCCCCTTCCTGCTTAGGGGGGTCACAAGCACAGGTGTCCTCAACATTGGTGATGCCACAAATTTAGGTCTGGGCCCAGGGCTGCTGTGCGCTCCACAGGAAGGCGCTTCTCAGGGAGCACTTGGAGGGCGCAGGGTGCAGCTGCCACTGCCTGTACCATCAAGGGTGGAGGTTTTTCAAAGATACCTCCCAAAGCCATGTTCCATTCCACACCCAGGATTGTGGCCCTCCGGGGAGGGTGGGACCCAGGTGAGTCTGATCTTGAAGTTCCCCGAGAGTAGAGTTTGCATTAAAGGGAAGCAAATGAAGACAAGACCCTTAGCTTTTGTATGAAATAGACAAGTTGGTTTGAATCAGAGTCTATAAGAAGAGATGTCAATTTGTTAAGAGAATTTAGATGATTAGACAACTCATTTGTGAAGATGTGACCCATTAAGGGTGTCATGCCAAATTAGCACAACCGGGCTTCTAACTACCTTCCATTCGTATGGTCCTGTTTACTGGGGCCTGCTGGCTGGGAAGGCTGAGCTCCTGGGGTCAGCATGAGCTTGAGGGTCTGGAAGAAGGCCTCAGACAGCTGGGCCCGGCCAGGACCTTTCCCTGGGTACCATGTGGCCTGGCCCATTCTGGACCGTGGTCCCATGCTGCCTCTCCAGGGGTTCCAGCCAGGCAGGTAGAGGAAGCTGCATGCCTCTCCTGGCCACCGACCTCACAGCTGCAGACTCTTTCTCCCCACCGAGCTGCAGCCCCAGCTGTGCCCTCACTTGGCCTGCCCCACCGCCACCCCATAGACTCTGTTCTACCAACACCAGCCTCCACCTGAAATGGTCTTTCTGCTGACTCCTTACCTCCGGCAGGGGTCCCCACGCCTGACAGGAGGCACCTGGGGATGCCTAAGCATGCGGTTAGGTGCCACAATCTCCTTCCTGGCTCTCGGCCACCCTCATGTGGACCAGGCTGTGGGCCCAGCACGGTGGTGTCTCATCCTGGAGGTGCTGCAGCCGGGGCCCAGGCAGCCGCCTCATAGGTGCAGGTCCGCCCTGACCTAGCCTGCTGGGTGCCTCATCTCCTGGACTGCTCCTGGGGCATCTTCAGTGTCTGGGAGCTGGCCCTGACCCTTGGCCTGTGGTGTCCTGGCATTTCGTGGCCCTGGGCCTCTGCATAGGCCTGTTAAAATGGCCTGGGAGCCCTTTCAGCAGAAGTCACATCTGGGACAGATTGGTGTGTGATGTCTCAGAGGCAGAAATCTACACTTCCCTGAAACCTGACTTGTGGCTCTAAATGATCTGAAGCAAGGCCAGAAGCAAAACACAAACGTCGTGACACCCCAAAGAACAGAGCGGTCTCCTTTCATCAGAAGAGCCGAGGCCCCCTCTAGCCTGTGGCCAGACACGATGACAGCGCTCACTTGTCACCAGGCCTGGCCGTCCCTCCCCACTGGATCCCCGGGGTCCTGAGCCCATCTACAACAGCATCTAGCCAAGCGGGCCGCAGCCCCTGCCAGGTTTGCTGGGCCGCCTGCTCTGACACAGCCCTGCTGCGCGTACCGAGAGCCTCACGGGGTCACAGGTAGGCACTGGGCGTGGCAGTCCCAGCCAAGCCTTGCCTGTGGGCTGTCCCAGCCTGACCCTGGTGGGGACAGATGTGTCTTCTCCCGATGTGTCTCCAGCTCAGGCCCCAGGCTCAGCAGAGCAGAAATGAGCTGCCCCTGCTAGGACCGTCCTGATCCAGCAAAGCGTGCACAGCTGGTGCGCTGGCCTCGTTGTACAGCTGCAGGTCTCCCAGCGCCCTCCTCTGCTGACTCGAGCTCCTCTGCAGCATGGCGGCCGCCCCCTTCCTCTCAGGCCACGTCTGCCCTGGTGGAGATGAGGGTGCCTTCGAAGCTGGAGGCTCTGTCACAGCCTCACCCAAGGCAGGCAGAGGCCCTGGTAGTTGTATTGCCACCAGTTCACTTCTTGATGTGGGATGGCTGACCACATTCTGCCCTCAGCCTTGAAGGTACCATGCCGATGGCCCCTGTGGGCCTGGTGCGGTTCCCCAGCCAGCACTGCTGGGGGTAGCCTGGGTGTGAGCGTGCGGCTCCGGCTGTGCCAGCCCCAGGCATGGGCTGGAAGGTCGAAGGGAGGGGCAGGCCCTGGCGACAGAGCTGCCTTCTGGGGTGCACAGTGGGCACGCCCAGCCCCCCTCAGCTTCACACCTGGGGCCCCAGGAGTGCCGGAGGCAGGTACCAGACAGGAACCGTGGGGGCAGGCAGAGGGGCCAGCTCAGTTCATAACACTAGTTTATATTCTGTCGCTGTTTTTTCAATTAAATGTGGGTGAATCTGAAGTAGTGAGATTTAGTCTAAATCCACACCACGGAGGAAACCCATGCTCTTTTTCTTTCTCATTTCTTTCTCTGAATTTTCACTGAGGGGCTTTTATCTTCCCCTTAATCCTACCATTTCTGTCAGGACATAATCTCTTTCTCAAATTTACATTTTAATTACAAGGCCAGCTGAACTAGGTAAAATCAATAGTGTCAGCGCTGGGCAGCCCGCCTGGGCGCGGGCCCCGCCTCTCCATTTCCTGCCATCGATTTCCCTCCACTGTCTGCTTTAGTGCTCCAGGCAAGTAGGTGCCATTGGTCAATTTAAACAAAAAAGGGGATTTGGACATTTTTATGATTCTTTCTAAAAGCAGCCGTGGGAGTGAATTTGAGCCGGGATACTGGACTCAAGTCAGCTGCTGTGTGGGTGGGGCGGGCGCCAGGCTCGGCCGCGACGTGTGGCCTCCGGTTTTTCCAGGAGTCATTATTCTTCCTGCAAATGTGTGCTCTCGGTGCCTGAGGAATGCTGCCTGCTTTTTGGGGTTTTACTTTGAAAGTATGTCAGTGAGATTGATTTTCCACACGATGTGTGAGTGGGAGTGTTTTTAGTGCCCTGAGTATTTACCCTGCTTTAACACGCTTACCCATCTTTTTAATGGTTTAAAACAACAAATCGATGAAAAATATATTTCATTCTTGTAACTCTTAGGAATTCTCATATTGATCTTTTGGCTGTGATTGTATCTAAATGTCATATTGTTCACTTATCAGTCTTGCCTCCCTCACTGTGTGCGTGCATGTGTATGTGTGTGCCCGTGTGCGTGTGCATGCGGGTGTGCATATGTGTGCACGTGTGTACTGGCAGCCTCTATCTGTGTCATGTGTATTGCCGGAACACGGAGGGGCACTGGGCAGGTTTTGGGAGCAGAACCTGGGATGTGGCATCAGGCACTGGGGCTGAGCAGGGGCTGCCCAGTGTTGCCTGGGTGCACGCCTCAGGGGGTTGGAAGTCTGGCCCTGTCACCTGCTCTGCATGACTCTGTCTCATGCCCTCCATTTTCAGCCCCTGGGAACCCAGGAAATGGGAGCAGCCCCACAGGCATGCAGCAGTGCATGGCTTAGGGGAGTTTCCGTGTGGGGCAGGCACCTTGTGTGAAGGGCCAGGGCGTAGTCTCTTTGGCTTTGGTGGCTACACGACGCCTTGTTTCCAGGCGTAGATGATGGCTGTTACTGTGTGCCAGTAACACTCGATCATGAAAACAGGCAGGGACTGGACTTGGCCCACAGCCACAGGCTGGCGAGCCCTGCGGATACTGAGATGGGACGCGACGCTTCTGTGTAGCGTCAGGCTGACCGCCCAGAGCACCAGTGGCCCAAGTCAGAGGTGGCTTCAGACCCCGAATTCTGTGAGCCCTTTCAGAGAGGCAACTTTTTCCTTCCTCTACAACTCAGGGACGGGGTTGGGTGGGTCACCTCCTCGGGTTTATGGGACGCTTGTCATGGGCCTGAGCAAGGCTCTTTGTCCTGTTTTCCTCCGGGGAAGCTCCTGCCCTAGGCAGCCTTGCAGTACCCCAAGTTCTTCTCCCAGCTCTGTTCTCCAAACAGAGGATTCCTGGCTGTGCAGCTTGGTAAGTGGAGGCACCGTGGGTGTCCTCAGAAAGCTTGCTGTGAGCACACGTATGTTCAGTGACAGCATGCCTGTAAGTACGAGTGTGTGTGTGTGTGTGTGTGTGTGTGTGTGTGTGTGTGTTCTCAGTAAGCCTGGAAAGTCCGAATGTTCTTCAGTGGGCACACGTGTGTTCAGTGAGAATGTGTCTGTAAGTGTAAGTGTGTGTGTGTGTTCTCAGTAACCTGCACAAACAGAAGGCCTGCATGCACTGCAGTGAGCACACCTATGTTCAGTGATAGCATGTCTGTGCGTGGACCTGTGTGTGTGTAATACATCATGCCTACCCCAGTTTCCGGGCACCTGAGCTCTGTTTTTGACACACTGTTCTGTGATCTCAGGACACCATCTGGGCAGTGCAGATTCCTGGGAGGTAACTGAGGCCTCCGTTGACTTTGGACTTGGTTTTCTTTTGTCAGTTCTGCATGTGTGTTGGAGAAGGACTTCTTGGATATTGTGTTACTCCATTTTCATGCTGCTTATAAAGACATACCTGAGACTGGGCAATTTACAAAAGAAAGAGGTTTAATGAACTTAACGGTTCCACATGGCTGGGGAGGCCTCACAATCATGGCAGAAGGCAAGAAGGAGCAAGTCACATCTTACATGGATGGCAGCAGGCAGTGAGAGGGCTTGTGCAGAGAATCTCCTGCTTTAAAACCACTGGATCTCGTCAGACTCATTCATTGTCATGAGACCAGCACGAGAAACCATCGGATCTCATGAGACCCGCCCGCCGTCAGGAGAACAGCACGGGAAACCGTCGGATCTCGTGAGACCCGCCCGCCGTCAGGAGAACTGCACGGGAAACCGTCGGATCTCTTGAGACCCGCCCGCCGTCGGGAGAACAGCACGGGAAACCGTCGGATCTCGTGAGACCCGCCCGCCGTCGGGAGAACAGCACGGGAAACCGTCGGAGCATGGGAAACCGTCGGATCTCGTGAGACCCGCCCGCCGTCAGGAGAACAGCACAGGAGTGACCCACTCCCATGATTCAGTTACCTCTAACCTGCTCCTTCCCACGACGTGGGAATTATGGGAGCTACAAGATGAGATTTGGGTGGGGACACAGAGCCAGCCTATATCAGATAAGTCTCACAGCATCTCTTAGTTGGTGGTTTTGACTGTGCTGTGCAAACCACCTGTGATACGGCTCCTTCTTTGCCTAACAGCCACTTCCCAAGAGAGTTTGCAGAAGTCCCCACAGTCATGGGTACCCAGTTCTCCCTGGAGCCTCTCAGCATTGCTTATGTTTGGAGACTGCATTTTTAAGTTACATATCTGTTTTGTGTGTATTACACCTTCAGGCATTCCTTCTTTTACCCTCCCGTTTTTTATTTAAAGTCCGGTTTTTCTAGGACCCACCTATAACCTCCTCTGTCTTTTGGTTGTTGTTTCCTCGTAAATCTTTCTTTGACCCTTTATTTTAAACCTGTCTCTAACCATTGTATTAAGTGGGTCTTGTTTAGACAGCACATTGCCAGAGACATCCACTCCTGAGTGTGTCCTTTCGGTAATTTGAATCTGTGAAGTTAACAGTTGTTGGCGAGGCTTCAGAAGACACCCCGCGGCCTGTGGCGGTCCGTCCATCCATCCGTCACACTTTGTCTCCGACTGGCTTCCATTGTTGGCCTCTCACTTCTTTCTCCCACCATTTATGTGCCCAGTTCTGCTGGTTTTTATTCTTCAGATGGTCACTTCTTGTTGTGGAAAGGATTTACTGTTCGTTTCTGTAGTTTCTCAGTGTCTGTACTATTTCCTGCACAAGGCAAATCACCTAGCACCATCTCCTCACGTGTAGCCTCCTTCCACCCCATCACATAGAATCATCCAGAACCCACAATTCGGGTTGATGTGAAAACTTGGGTTTGGGATGGGGCCAGGCAAGAGTAACCTTTACAAAGTCATGTGCTCAGTGTACTTCCCGAAGCTCATGGCGCTCACCTCCGTTGTCTCAGGGCGCTCACCTCCCGCGTCTCAGGGCGTTTCAGGGCGCTCACCTCCGGCGTCTCAGGGCGCTCACCTCCGGCGTCTCAGGGCGCTCACCTCCCACGTCTCAGGGCGTTTCAGGGCGCTCACCTCCGGCGTCTCAGGGCACTCACCTCCGGCGTCTCAGGGCTCAGGGCGCTCACCTCCTACATCTCGCATCTCGGGGCACTCACCTCCCGCGTCTCTGTCTCACCTCCAGCTTCTCAGGCACTCGTGGCCTCCCGCCTCGCCTCTGGTGGAGTCTCAGTGCTCAGTGCCCACGTCTTGCTCCAACCCCCTGCACTTACTTTTCTGATTACTGGGTCTAAAGGTGTTTTCAAAGCAGATCTCGCTGTGGCAAACCTCAAAGGGACTTGTCTCCATGAGGTCATCGTCCTCCACCTCCACAAGAAATGATCGTTTAGCAGACTATAAAACTCTGAGCTTGAACTTCTCCTTCAGCATTTTCAAAGGGACCGTCTTAAGATCTTGCATTCACGGTTGCTGTTGAAAATGCTGTTGTCAATAGAATTTTTATTTCTTTGGAATTATCAGCTAAGTTGCATGACCACAAGGCCCCACAGTAGGCCGTCTGTAAGCTGAGGAAAGAGGAGAAGCAGTCCGAGTCTCTAAACTGAGGAACTGGGAGTATGATGTTCACGGGTACCAGAGAAAGCCGTGGGCTGGGAGGCGAGGCGTATCTCTCCTCTCCATGCTTTTCTGCTGCTTCACATTGGCTGACAGCTGGCTAGATGGTGCCCACCCGATTAAGGGTGGTCTGCCTTCCCCTGCCCACTGACTCTAATGCCAATCTCCTTTGGCAGGACCCTCCCTGACACAGCTTCTGTCCAGTCAAGTTGCGGTTCCTGGGCTGTGACGTGCTTAGGTTTTCCTGCATCGCCTCCAGGCAACACCTTCAGGGACACAGTCAGGATTGACACTTTGTATCCAAATCAAGCTGACCTCTGGGGTTTTTGTTTGTTTGTTTGTTTTGAGAGGGAGTTTCGCTCTTGTTACCCAGGCTGGAGTGCAATGGCGCGATCTCGGCTCACCGCAACCTCCGCCTCCTGGGTTCAGGCAATTCTCCTGCCTCAGCCTCCCGAGTAGCTGGGATTACGGGCATGCGCCACCATGCCCAGCTAATTTTTTTTATTTTTAGTAGAGACGGGGTTTCACTATGTTGACCAGGATGGTCTCGATCTCTTGACCTCATGATCCACCCGCCTCGGCCTCCCAAAGTGCTGGGATTACAGGCTTGAGCCACCGCGCCCGGCGACCTCTGGGTTTTAACCATGTGGGGCTACAGCCTTGTTAGGGTTTCAAGCGTGGTTTTGCTTTCTCTCCTTTGACTCTTAGTGAGCCTTCTAATTCCAGTAAAATGTGGCTCATTGTTTCTGCAGCTGTTTTCTGCACTCCAGTTATTTCTCTGTCCTGCTGGAGTTTGAGGAGAGATGAGGATGCTGATAACGTGCGCGCCCCCCTCAGCCCTCAGAACTCTGAACAGTGTCTTCTGTCCGCGGTCACCTGCATCTCACTCGTGCCACGGTGGCTGGTCCCCTCAGCCATCCAGCAAGTCCTCTGCACCTGCTGCTTTTTCTTTCCCTTTGTCTTCGGTAGAGGTGTCTTCAGGGTCCCCTCTCATTTCCTGGCCTCTCGCTCTGTCTCTGCAGTGCCCGTGGTTCCGGAGTGTGGCACGGGCTGCGAGCCCCCTCGCCTGGGCTGCCTGTGGATTCTGCCACAGCCAGGGCGCCTTGCTCTGGCCGTTTTCTTTCTTTGGATGTCTGGCTTACCTGCGGTCCAGGTTCCTCTGGGGTCTTGAGCCCCCTCTTACCGGCAGGCCCACGGGAGGAAGGGCTCAAGGAAGGCTGTAGTTGCTCCTGCAGCAGATTTGGGGAGGTGGGTGATGCCCTTTGTCCTTATCCATAGGCTGCCTGGCACCTCCTGTGCCCTCTGCCATCTCAGTGCCCCAGGACACTAGCTTAGACAGCCTCTGGGGAATATAGGCACCTGCCCTGACCAAACGGTGCCATCACAGTCAGGGTGAGCCCCATGGGGCAGCCTGAGAACAAAGTCCAGGCCATGGCACAGGAGGAAGTGAGAAGCAGGTCAGGGCCCAGCAGTGTTGGAGAATCTCCTTGTCCACCTCGGGGACTCTGGGTGCATGCTGGGCAGCGGAGGCTGGTGGCCTCGTCCCTGTCATCTCTGTGATGGTAGAGATGCGGCCATAGCCTTGTCTTCCTAGTGGCAGGGTGGGCCCTCTGCAGCAGGCACTCTGGACAGCATCATGCTTGTTGGAGCTCAGCCTCTGCTTGGCAGCCGGTGGGAGGGAGTTGCCAGGGCCAGGGCCTTGGTCCAGTGGCCCCCGTGGTTCTCATAGGCACCTGCTGAAGCTGTGGTGCAGCCCCAGGCATTTCTTCGGGGACACAGGCTGGAATCCCCGCTAATCTTGGATTTTACCTCGGTGCAAGATGTGGGTTGGAACCCTGTCTGGAGGTGCACGCCTCTTCATCCTTGAGGACCAAGTGGCTGCCACCTTGGGCCTGGGGACTGGGGAGGCCTGCAGGCTGCCTACATTTCACCACTGGAGCCCAAGCTGCTGGGACTGTGGGCACAGGGTGCAGGGCGGCGTGGGCTGTGACTGCCGCCAGCTCCTGGACAACCTGGTGAATCCGTCTTCTCAGGGTGGCACTTCTGCAAAGCCAGGCGGCACAGTGTGTAAACAGCGTGGCCTCTAGCCAGGACCGCGAGAGCCACTGCCCCCTGCTGTGTTCTGCAGAGCGTGGCCTGAGCTGCTCCGTGCCCCACCTGTGCCCATGAGGTCAGATAGTGGGTTCCAGCTCGGGACTGTGGGAAGATGGAGTGTGCTAACGTGTAGGCGCGTCCTCTCTCCTCAGTCTTGTGGGAGGTGCCTGGCGAGTTGTGGGGGTGGTGGCAGGAGTCGACACATGTCTGTTTCAGGGCTAGAGGTGACGCCCGAGAAGGACCCAGCTGCACGGGTCTTGCGGATGAGGATGAGGAGGGACGAGGAGGCGTCGGATCCCACCTCTGCGGCTGCTCAGCTGCGGCGGCTCCAGGACCATTTGCCGCGACCCTCGTCTGCCAGGTGACTCCCAATGTCCTGTGTGCTGAGCCCCCTTGTCCAGAGCACTGGCTGGCCCCAGTAGGCTGCTAAGGGCCTTCCCTGGCTGTCTTGGTGAAGCCTGGAATCTGCACCCTGGCTGGGTGAGCAGTACTGGTGCCATGTTTGGGCTTGTCAGCGCCAGCGTCAGCTGGAGCCTGGGTGGGGCTGAGCCAGCAGATACCCTTCCAGGCACTGCTTGTGCCTCTGAGAGGTGTCCCCAGGACTGGGGTTTGAGAGGCAGATGTCAGGTCACCCCTGTACTAGGGTAAAGGACAGCAGACCAGAGGCCCGCTGTTGACCAGGGTCCACAGCTTCTCTCAGGACCTCCGTGGTGGCCCTGAAGCCCAGGCCCTGTGCGGGCAGAAGCCACTGCTCATGTGAGCGAACCTGAGGCCCTGGCTGTGCTGTGGGGTTGGGGAGGCAGAAGCAGGTGGCTGCAGCACACGTGTAGTCAGCATGTCCCATCTGTTCCTATAGCCCTTCCAGAGTGTTGCTGGAGCCAGAGGAGGCCCAGAAGCTGGCAGCAGAGCGGGCCCGGGCACCTGTGGTGCCCTACGGCGTGGACCTGCACTACTGGGGCCAGGAGCTGCCCACAGCCGGGAAGATCCTCAAGTGAGTCCCCGGGCATCTGAAGTTGGCCAGGGCACACAGCCAGGGCCCCTGCCTGGGGAGGGTGCTGCCAGCTTGCCAGGCCTCACTAGTTTAGCAGAAGCTGGCCCCGCCGCCCAGCTCTGCCCACCTTCTGGGTGCCTAGAGGGACACGGGTGGGCCTCCCCTGCTGAGCCGGCTTGTGGAGCCCAGCAGGGCTTTTCTGAGCCTTTCCGCTGCTGTGTTGGGGCATCCATGGAGCTTGGGTGTTATCCTGCAGGAACAGCCGGATGAGAAGCCACTCCCCTAAAGGCTGCCCCAGGGCCCGTGCTGTGTCCCGCTTCACCACAGCTGTGCAGTGGGCTTCCTGCCGCACCAGGGCTGCTTGTAGTGACTGTGTGCCCACACTTCAGGTGGGGGCGCTGCAGGGAGCCTCAGGAAGCTACCCTCCCTGCCTGCTTCCCCCTTGGCACCCCTACAGCACTGACCTCTTCTCTGGGGAGCTGCAGCAGAAGAGGGTACACAGGAATCATCTGCTCAAGTCTGGGCTGCTGGGCCTGGAGGGGCCACCTGAGTACTCCAGCCCCTGCCAGACCTCACTGGCATGGCTATCGGGGGAGCAGGGTCCCTGCCACCTCCTCAGCTCCCACCCTAGGACAGCTCTACACACAAGGGAGGTGAGCCCACTCCTGCCCCCTACCCAGGTGAGCCCGTCTCCCTTAGGGGTCAGAGGTGGTGGGTACCCCAGCTTCTCACCAGTCCTTGTCATCAAGACCCAGGGCCAGTGTGACACAGGAAGAGGCTGGCTTTTGATGCAGGGAATGTTGCCGTCCCCACAGCACCTGTGATGGCTCAGCTTAAAGGGCTGGGCTCCCTGTGCAAACACCGTAAACATTTAAGCTAATGCTGCGGGGTCTGCAGGGCTGGGAATCCCCCAGTGATGTGGGAGCATCTCATCTTCGTGAGGCACCAACCTCAGAATCTCTGGAGAGAGTGGTGGCAGGGGCAGGGAGCATGCAAGGGTCCTCGGGCAGCCTGAGGAGCCCCATGTGTCCAGGGCAGCCTGAGGAGCCCCATGTGTCCAGGGCAGCCGCCGCCTCTTCCTGGACACCCAGCAATGGGCCCCAAGTGCCTGCGTGTCCTGGTGCGTTGTCCACCGCTGCTTCTGTTCCCAGGTTTCTGCTGGGCTCACTCACGCGGGCAGGACAGTAGGAGAGGCAGACCCTGTCCTCACTCTGCAGGGCTAAGATCTCAGGGCCCTCTCCTCGGGGCTGCAGAGACGCTGCCCCTAGTGGGGGCCAGATTGCGGCAGTGCAAGGAGGGAGGGGCTGGGCAGGCAGGAAGAAACAGCCGTCCCTACCACACTTTGCCACCAGGAATGCCCCTCTCAGCCTGGCAGGTGATGCCTGGCACAGCTTCCACCTAGAAGCAGACGCCTGTCCCTCCTTATGCCTGCCTGGCCTTGCCCCAGTACCCCGGACTTTGCCCTGAGCCCCCGGGCAGTTGCAACAGGTGAGAAACCTGAACAGCTTCTTGGTGAGGACCTGGTTAGTCCTGGATGGCACCAGGACCCTGCTGGGCAGGCCTGGCTTTACCCTGCACCTGCGTGGCCTGTCAGCACCACCCACCTGGTGCTGCAAGCTCACGGTTTCACGTTTCCCCCACCTGCCCACAGACCTGTGTGGGGCCAGCTTGGTGGTGGCCTGCACATGGGAGTGGCCCCAGCTGGGGAAGGGCCCGTGTCAGCCGCATGGGCCAGGGGTGTGTGGCTGGTGCAGAAGGCACCACCTGGGTGTCGCTTGTGCTCACAGCCAGTTGAGGGCCACACTCCTGGCTGGCCCCTAGCCAGGATGGCAGGGGCTACTCATACCATATTCCATCACCAAGAGGAGGGGTCCTGCCCTCTAGCTTTCAGCCCCATCTGGGGACGTCAGAGAGCCTTACCCCTTTCATTCAGGGGTAAGACAGTGCAGCTCTGGAAGGCCAGGGCTGAGCCAATCTGTGGTGAGAGACCGGGCTGACGGGGCTGGCACCCCCAGGCCCTGGAAACAGCTCTTTCCCCACAGCCTCTGGAAAGACCCCTCCCTTGGAGGCCACAGGTCCCAGCTGGGCATGGTGCTCAGGCCTGGAATCCCAGCACTGTGGGAGGCCGAGGCGGGTGGGTCGTCTGAGGCCAGGAGTTTGAGATAAGCCTGGCCAATGTGGCCAAAACCCTATCTCTACTAAAAATACAAAAATTAGCTGGGTGGGGTGGCGTGTGCATATAGTCCCAGCAACTCGGGAGGCTGAGGCAGAAGAATCACTTGAACCTGGGAGGTGGAGGTTGCAGTGAGCTGAGATCGAGCCATTGCACTCCAGCCTGAATGACAGAACAAAGTACTGTCTCAAAAAAAAAAAAAAGGCTGGGCCAGGCGCAGTGGCTCACACTTTTAATCCCAGCACTTTGGGAGACTGAAGTGGGCAGATCACCTGAGGTTGGGAGTTTGAGACCAGCCTGACCAATATGGAGAATCCCTGTCTCTACTAAAAATACAAAATTAGCCAGGCGTAGTGGCGCGTTGCTGTAATCCCAGCTACTCATGAGGCTAAGGCAGGAGAATTGCTTGAACTTGGAAGGCTGAGGTTGCAGTGAGCTGAGATCACGCTACTGCACTTTAGCCTGGGCAACAACAGTGAAACTCCATCTCAGGAAAGAAAAAAAAAAAAAAAAGACTGGTGGGCTTTGGCAGAGGCAGGCAGAAGGGAGCATCCCTGCTCCCGGGCAGGTAGGAAGCGGTGGAGCCTGTGGCATGCTGGCTCCGAAGTGTTCCCTCTGAGACCCACAGGGCATTTCGTCCTGTCGGAGTTCTGGGTGGCAGAACTCGTCACTGCTTCTCATACAGGGCCTCTCCTGGTGTGGCAGGAGGCGTTTGGCCCGGTGGTCGGTCACCCTCGGGGAGCCACATGTATCCTTGACTATGGGGCACATGGCCAGGTGCTCCTCATCCTGCCGGGGCTCTACCCAAGATGCCTCTCCCTGTAGTGGGGCCAAGGCCCCGGGTGGCATGCTGTGCCTGCATTCCCACCCGCTACCTGAAGGCCCTGCAAGCGTGAGACCCCCTTATCCCAACCCAGTCTCACCCCAGACCAAGGTGGAGGCAGAAATGAGGTCCAGTGGCCCTGGGGCAGGGCCTTCTCCCTAGCATGGGCCGTGCCTGGGGCTGTGCTCCTGTCTGCCGGCCCAGGGCAAGGGCAGGGTTACTGGGCTTTGCTCCTCCAGCACCCATGGACGCAGAGCGTGGGAACCTGGGAGGCTTGGGCAGAGCCAGCCGTCCCCCCGTCAGGAGGCAGCAGGCAGTCTCCCGTCCCTGGGAGACCTTGGCACTGCCCATCTGTCCTCCCCAGTTCCTGCTGGCCCCAAGTGTGGCTGTGTACCCTAGAAGGAGGCCTGGTGGTGGCACAGGGGCATCTGGGTCTGTGTGAGGGCCCCTCAGTCACTTCTCCCCTGCCTGGGCATCCAGGTGGGCGGGGGGTGGAGCCCTCTACTGCCAGCACGACCAGCTCCCCCATCCTGTGGCATCGCAGGAAAGCGCCTCCAAACAGGCTGATGACGACAGCAGAGCATGGGCCCGGACACACCTGGGAGGCCCAGGACAGCGGAGTCCAGTCCCCAGCGCCTGGCCCTCTGTGCTGCCAAGGGCTGAGTAGTGTGTGCTCCTTCCTCCGGGCGCGCTGCCGCCCTGTCCTCACGCCCCGGTGGTGGAAAGACGACCTTCACATGGACGTCCCGTGACCCTCAAGGTCATGCCTCAGGGCCCAGCCACGGTCACCCTTGTGCTGTAGGGAGAGCCCCTCCTGCAGGTGGCAGTTGCGCCCATGGATGGAGGCTGGTTCATGCAAAGTCAGAATTCAGACCCACGTGGGAGTGACTGTTCTGCTTCTGGGTGGTGCTCTCCGAAGCATTGGGGTGGTGGCTGGGCTACAGTGGTGTTCGGCCATCCCCCACGCCTGCACCATCCCAGCCATGCTCTTCTGGGGTCCCTGCAGACGTGGTGAGGATCTCTGGCTCTCTCCGCAGGTCTGACTCCCAGCACCGCTTCTGGAAACCCAGCGAGGTGGAGGAGGAAGTGGTCAACGCCGATGTCTCTGAGATGCTCCACAGCCGCCACATCACTTTTGCGGGGACGTTCAAGCCGGTGCAGCACCGGTGCCGCGCCCCGAGGCCAGACGGCCGGCTCTGTGAGCGCCAAGACCGGCTGAAGGTGAGACCTGAGGGTGGGGGAGCTGGGGGAACCAGGGTGGGCAGCCGGAGGGGTGCCGAGCCCCACCTGCCCCGGCCCTGGGTCGGGATGCTTGTGAGTGCTGGGAAGCCCATGGGAGGGGCTTGTCTGTGGTGGGCAGAAACTGCTTTGTCGTGGCTGTCAGAAGACGGTGTCCAGCGGCTCCTGCCCAGGGCCCTGTAGCGCAGCAGCTGGGCCTGTGGCTTGGCGAGCTCTGCAGGGGCCGAGACGTAGTGTCCTCCATGGTTGCAGCCCGGGTCTGTGCTGGGCTGGGCTCAGAAGCGAGGAGAGGCCGGGGGCCTGGAGCAGTTTCCAGCCTGGCAACTGGGCATGGTGCAGGGAGGTAGTCACTATGACCAGGCTGGTATGAGGGAGGGCAGAGCCACCTCTGTGTCCCTGCGGGGTTCAGGACGCCCTCCCTTGAGGGGTGTGTGATTCCAGTGTTACGCACGCTTTGGCCCTGAGAGGCCGCCCTCCCTGGTAGCTGTTTGTGCTTGAAGGGGGCAGTGGTCAAGGCGAGCAGAGCCCCTTCCTCCCTTCCCACTTAGAGCCGCTGTGTCCTTGCTCTGCAGTGCCCTTTCCACGGGAAGATCGTTCCAAGGGATGACGAGGGACGGCCGCTCGACCCGGAGGAGAGGGCCCGGGAGCAGCGGCAGCAGCGGCAAAAGCAGGAGCGCCCAGGTAGGTCTGGGCAGGTGGGCGGGGCGGGCGCCACGGGAGGCACTGCCTCTGGCTGCCCGGGTCATGTCTGCGGAGTCACGGAGCACTTCCTCTGCCAGCATGGTCCACGGTGCTTACACAATCCTCGGTCCTAATTGGTAGAATCCGGAGGGGTGCTGCCCAAGCATCCTGGGTTTGGGGCATCCAGGGGATGCTCCAGCTTAAGGGGGAGTCACGTGTTCATGAGACCCCAACCAGGAGGTGGGCACCCAGGGCCCCGAAGCCACAGGTGCCCTCTGTGTGGCTGGGTGCTGCTTCCTCGTCGTGTTTTCAGGCAGGTGAAGGCCTCAAGGCGAGAGAAGCGATCACACTGAGCCCGGAGTGCCTTCCAGGAAGCCCTCTGCCCTCCTCAGTGCCCTGCACCTGCCTTGGTGTGCAGGTTGCCACGGCTCTGTCCAGAAGGCATGTGGCCACTGTCCAGGCACCTGCTGTGGTGGCAGGATTGCAGGTGCCAGAGGCCCTGGACAGCAAGGCCACTGTGACGCAGCACTGCCTCAACAGCGGGGCCCGTGTGCCCGCCTTCCCTCACCCTGGCAGAGGTGTGTATCTGCTTTCCAGGGAAGATGTGTTTTTGGAGGTCCTGGCCAGCCTCGGGCTCCCTCTTTCGTTTTTAAATCTTGCTTTGTATTTCTTATTTTTTTGGAGGCAGGGTCTCTCTATTCACCCAGGCTGGAGTGCAGTGGCGCAGTTATGGCCTCCCAGGTTTGAGCAATCCTCCTGCCTCAGCTTCCTGAGTAGCTGGAATTACATACCACCATGCCTAATTTTTTTATTTGTATTTTAGAGGTGGTGTGGCACCGTATTGCCCAGGCTGGTCTTGAACTCTTGGTCTCGAGCGATTCTGTTGCCTCAGCCTCCCACAGTGCCAGGATTACAGGTGTGAGCCCCCCTGCAACACAGCCTCGCTCCTTTTTGGAGAGTGACTGCGCCTGCAGGCCTGGACCCGGCCCAAAGCGGGGTTCACACCTTGTCTTGAAGAGCAGCACTGGGGCCCAGCGTCCCTTCCAAGCTGTCTCTGCCATGGCTCCTGGCATCTTGCTCTCCGGTCATGAGAGGCAGGTGTTGAATGCAGCCTGATGCCGAGAGGCAGCGGCTTAGCTCGGGCGGTGGGGAGTGCCCTGACCTGCTAATCTCTGAGCCAGGCCTTCCCTGGTGGCCCACACTCAGGAGCAAATTAAGTGCCTATTTTTTGTGTCAGCCCTGAAGAGTATCTGGTTTTCCAGCCCTTGGTGACTTGTTAACAAACAGGTATCAGGCCGCGGGCTGCGGCCGGCACTGGCCAGTCAGATGTGAAATAGCATCTCTTTACTAACTACAGTATTGATCCCCGCCTCCCTTGCGCACGGGGCAATTTTCCTCTCCCTGGCGCTAACCTCAGTGACAATGTGCGTGGTGCTGCAGGCCCATCGGCGCCCAGGAAGGCCGTGGCCCAGCATCTATTGATTTTCCTCAAAGGCTTTTAAATTGCTCCTTCATTTCACTGAGACGCCCGCTCCATCTCCACTGGGTGCCGGCGCTTTTTCCTTGTGTTTAAACAATTGCTCCATTCACTGGGTTCCTAAACTGTGACGCCTTCTTATTACTGGGAGATAAACTGTTTGGACAGTTTTCCTTAATCTTGGATTAATCGTTCCTGTATCTGAATTGTGGGCCCCGTATTCCTTCACTTCAAAGAATCCGCTTGGGGAGGCCAGGCCATCCATCTGAGGCGCAGGCATCCCTCCGGGGATGTGCCCCTGTGGCCTGGCCCCGCTGGCCCGGCTCGTGGGGTCCTGTCTGCAGGAGCGGGTGCCTCGGACCATCGGCGCTTAGCCACCTTCTGTGAGCCAGGGTTGTCTGTAAGCCCGTCGACCATCATGGTCCCGTCAGGGGTGGCCTTCCTGAGCCCGACCAGCACCAGGCCTGGTGGATGCCCACCACCACCTTGTACGAGGAACCCCACAGGAAGCCTGGGCCTCTGAACCTCAAGGGCCTCGGTGCCACTACGCGGTGGGTGCTCTCAGCCTGCAAGGCTGCTCAGTAGGCTGGGGACATTTGTGTCCCCTCACTGCCACAGGGCCTTAAGCAGAGGCCTTGGCACTGCCCATCTGTCCTCCCCAGTTCCTGCTGGCCCTACGCGTGGCTGTGTACCCTAGAAGGAGGCCTAGAAGTGCCCGGCTTGCTTGGGAAGGGCAGTTCCGTCTAGGAGAGCCCACTGTGCATTTTGAGGCCCGCGGCCCAGTCATCTTCAGACCAGCTAGAAAGAAAAGCCCTTTACCGACCGCCATGCTCGGCCCAGCTCTGCCGCACGTACCTCCCCAGAAGCAGGCATGTCCAGCAGGGCTACAGTTGGCCCAGCAGGGCGCAGTCCAGCCCGCAGGCAGGGGAGGCTTGCAGATGGCGCCCACCCCCCGACTGCTGGCCTTGGGTGCCTTCAGCCTTAGAGGTCCATGGGTCCATGGCCCCAGGAGTAGCCTCTGGGCCCAGGCCCAGCTTCCACCTCTGTGGGCTGCAGGGGCCTCTGGGGGTGCAGGGCGGTGGGAACTAGCTCTGTGTCACCTTCACCACACAGTGGCCAGCGTGCCCACCCTCCTCAGCCTGCTGTTTAGGGAATGCGAGTCGCCAGCAGAGTATCCTCTCGGGCCCACTGGTGCCAGGGTATGGGCGTGGGCAAGCTGACCTGGCCCTCCATCAGTACGAGACCAAGAGCCCCTCCTGGGTGCCTCAAGACTCTGGCTGGTGAAGGACTCTGGCGTTTCCTGAAGTTTTTGAGCTTTGTTTGCAGAATGGCAGGACCCTGAGCTGATGAGAGACGTGGAGGCAGCCACGGGGCAGGATCTCGGCTCGTCCAGGTACAGTGGGCAAGGCCGGGGGAAGAAGAGGAGGCACCCCCACCTCACCAACCTGAAGGCCCAGGCTGACACTGCCCGTGCTCGCATCGGAAGAAAAGTCTTCGCCAAGTAAGAGTGGGTCACCTCCCACCACGTGGTCCCCAGAGTGAGGGTATTTGAGGGGGACCATCTGAGTTCCAATATATTCCAGGGACCCGGGGCCTCCAGGAGCTTTCCTGCTGTGAGTTCCCCTGGGTGACCACCTGCCTTTCTCCAGGGAGGGGCAGTGCCAGCCAGCAGGAGCAGCAGGCCGGGTCTGGTCAGGAATGCCCCTGAGTACTCCCCAGGTTAAGAGGGGCTTGACCACCAGGCACCACCATCCTCGATTCCTGGGGAAGCCGTGCCAGGACAGGCTTCTGCTGGTGCAGAGTGAGCCCCTGGTCTCTCCCTTGCCTGGCTGTGCCCCAGGTCAGTGCCTGCATATTTCTGCAGCGGTGACTTCAAGTAGGGCGGTGACTGCAAAAGCTAGCAGAATGGGGGTCCATGCATCAGCCCCAGCAGAGCCCACCCCGGTGTGGCGGCTCTGAGCACTGACTCTCGGAGGCTGGCCTGGTGTCTCTGCAGCCCGGTGTGGGCCTGTGTGACTGGTGAGGCCTCGGCAGGGCCAGAGCGCGAAGCCTACCAGCCCGGCATCCCCACGTGTGGCCTGTCTCCCGGGGCACCACCGCAGCACCCCCGAGTGCGACCTGTCTCCTGGGGCACAGCGCGGCGCCCCCACATGCGGCCTGTCTCCCGGGGCACCAGCCCGGCTCCCCCGCATGCGGCCTGTCTCCCGGGGCACCAGCCCGGCTCCCCCGCGTGCGGCCTGTCTCCCGGGGCACCAGCCCGGCTCCCCCGCGTGCAGCCTGTCTCCGGGGGCACCAGCCCGGCGCCCCCGCGTGCGGCCTGTCTCCCGGGGCACCAGCCCGGCGCCCCCGCGTGCGGCCTGTCTCCCGGGGCACCAGCCCGGCTCCCCCGCGTGCGGCCTGTCTCCTGGGGCACCAGCCTGGCGCCCCCGCCTGTGGCCTGTCTCCCTGGCACAGCCACTTGCAGGGCACTGTGTTTCTCTCTCCTTGTTGCCTGGCTCTCCCCAAGAAAATGGAGAGTGCTTGTTTAGAAGCACCTGAGACTGATTAGTCCCTCCTGAAGCTATGCCAAGTCCTTGCTGGTACAGGTTTGTCTGAAAGCGCTAGTATGGTGGCCCCCACCCGTCGCCGAACCAGAGACCCTCTTAGACACACCTGGAAGCTGCTAAGTGCACGGGGCAGAGGAGGTGCCTCCTGGCCAGTATGACCGTGCACCCTCCTGAGTGGGCCCGGGAGGGTGGGGAGGCGCCTTCACCGCACCCTGACAGCTTCCCCTGGGCTGGTGGGTGGCATGTCCACGGCCTTGCTGGGCAGCGGTGCTCGTGTGAGCTGCAGAGAGGCTGGCTGGGGCCCCTGGCACAGGGCTGGACCCATCTTGTCTGACGGCCATCCAGGGTGCTCGGCCCTTGGTAGCTCAGGGTGAGGGTGTTTTCCTGTGGCTCAGCCGGGGGCAGAGGCCAGCCTGTGTGCTGACACCCAGGAGGAGGAGCAGCCGAGGGTCCTGTGCTGGGCTCTTCGTGTCTCATGGGGACAGCGAAGCCCATGGCAGGAGCTGGCTCTTCACAGTAGCTGTGTAGCCCAAAGCCCTCCCTGCAGAAAGGACGTCAGGTGACGGCAGGCTAAATCCTACCTTGAAGGACCCCGTAGCAGTGCCTGGCAGTCCCACAGGGACTGCAGCTGAGTGGCAGCATCACCACATTGTGGCCTCAGGCCCTGCTGGCTCCAGACCCTCGTGCGCCGCAGCTCCTAAGCCGGGCTGCACAACACACCTCGTCCCGCGCCCTCCCTACTGCAGCCTCAACCCGAGTTTCCAGCCCACGTATGCAGCAGTGGGCAGGGTTGTCCTGACACCTCTTGGCTGCATCTCCTGCAGTGCCACTCCCCGGGAGGCCACGGGGGCCCTCATCCTGGAGTACAGCAGGCCACGGGAGAAGTGCCAAGGTGGGGTGGGGCCACCTTCACCATGCAGAACCACCCACCTCAGACCCCGGCTCTGGGACCTGGGGCGGCCCTTTCCAAGCCTGTCTCTGTCTCGGGACAGGCCAAGGGGCTGGTGGCCATCTGTCTCTGAAGGTGGCAGCTGCAGGAAGTCTGTCAGTGTCTGAGGGCAGCCGCCGCTCCAGGACCAGTGTCTAACCCTGGTGACGCCCCTGCTGGGAGCCCAGACCCCTGGGGGAACCTCCCAGCTCACGTGTTGCCTCGTTTTCCCACAGGGCGGCTGTCCGGAGGGTAGTTGCAGCCATGAACCGGATGGACCAGAAGAAGCACGAGAAGTTTTCAAACCAGTTTAACTATGCGCTGAATTAGAGAGCTGGGCCCAGGGCACCCTCAGCACCTCTTCTGCCTCTGCCAGTGCCTTAGGACACCAGAGTGGGTGCGGGTCTGGGCAATGACTGTGCTTTGTCTATTACTGTGTTTGATGTAAAGAAATGGTATTAAAATGGCTTGAAGGTGGGGCTCTCTGCTGCTGCCGGGTCCAGCACCATCTGCTGACAGGTCTGGCCTCACAAAAGAGGCCCTTGAGCCTGGAGAAGTGAACCCGGGCAGTGAGCCTGTTCCCAGAGGGCACCCAAGAGTTCTGGCGGGGCCAGTGCCTGTGGTGGGGCAGAAAGTGCGTGGAGAGAAAGAGCCAGGAGGTGACCGCTCAGAGGAGCTCTGGGGAAGCCCACTTTTGTGCAAATGCTGTTTTTAACACAAACACCAAGGCTAGGGAACCGTTCACTCACCTGCTTCTGCTTCCGGATGTGCCTTTTCATACAACCTGCAGTCTTTTGTGTGTTGAAGACATACCGAGCATCTTCTCACGTGCCTGCTGGCCACTTGTGTGTCTTCTTTGGAGAGGAGTCTATTCAGATCTTTTTCCCATTTTTAATTGAATTGTCACTCTTGAGTTGTAACAGCTTTTTTTTTTTTTTTTTTTTTTCTCTCTTAGAGATGGGCTTTCACCCTTACCCAGGCTGAGTGCAGTGGTACAATCATAGCCCACTGCAACCTCAGACTCCTGGGCTCAGGCCATCCTCCCTTATCAGCCTCCCAAGTAGCTGGGACCACAGGCGCATGCCACAACACTTGGCTAATTTTTTAAATTTTTTGTAGAGACGAGGTCTCACTGTGTTGCCCAGGGTGGTCTCAAACGCCTAGCTTCAAGCGATCCTCCTGCTTCAGTCTCCCAAATGGTTGGGATTGCAGGCGTGACCACCGCTCCTGGCCACGAGTTCTGTATGTTGTGAATACTAGATCCTCGTGTGATTTGCACAAACTTTCTTCCATGCTGTTGCGTCGCTTTCCAGATGTGTCCTCTGAAGCACAAAAGTTAATTTTGATGAAGTCCAGCAGTTTAATCTGTTTTTTTCTTTTGTTGCTTATGTTTTTACTGTTACATCTCAGCAGCCATTGCCCAATCCGGAATCAAGAGATTTGCACCTGGTTTCTAAGAAGCATGTATAATTTCAGCTCTTCGGTGTCGGTCTTGGCCCTCTGTGAATTAGGCTTTGTGTGTGGTGTAAGCGCCCATATTCTTCTGCGTGTGGATATCCCACATGCACCATTTGCATGGTTAGCCCAGCACCATTTGTTGAAAACATTATTTTTCTCTGTTGAATTATCTTGGCACCCTTATTGATAATCACGTGACCAAAAAGGTATAGGTTTATTTCTGGACACTCTATCCCATTGACCTGTTTAGCCTTACGCCAGCACCACAGTGCGTCGGTCAGCATGGCTTGCTTTGTTGGGGTCAGTTTTACTTTGTTCGGTTTCAAGGTTTTCTTGACTACTCTTTATCCCTTGCATTTCCAAATGAATTTTAGGGTCCGCTCATCAGTTTCTTAAAAAAAAAAAAAAAAGCTGAGATTTTGATAGGAACTGCATTAAATCTGGAGATTGCTTTGGGATGTATTACATCTTAATGTTAAATCTTAAGTCATGAGCTTCTGACTATCTTTCCATTTACTTGGGTCTTTTAAAATTGATTTCAACAGTATTTTGTTGTTTTCAGTATATAAGTCTTACACTTATTTTGTTAAATTTACTCATAAGTGTTTTATTCTTCTTGGTTTATAACCAAAAGGATTATAAATGCAATGATAAAGTATTAAAGGATTATAAATTGCATTTATAAAAGCAACTATAAGTTTATTCTCTGAATTTCATCTTGGGACTGGTCATTGCTAATGTGTGGAAGTACAACTGACTTTGTATATTGATCTTGTATCCTGCATTCCTTGCTGAACTTGTTTATTATAATCAGTTTTGTGTTCCCTCAGATTTCCCATACACAGAATCATGTCATCTGCAAACAGCTTTCTTTCTGGTCTGGATTTCTTTTGTTTCTCTGACCTAATTGCTCTGGTTAGTATCTAAAGGACAGTGTTGAATAGATGTGGTGAGGGCAGGCATCCTTTTCTTACTCCTGATCTTAGTGGGAAGCTCTCAGTCGTTCACCCTTGAGTGTGACGCTCTCTGTCAGGTTGGAGAAGTTACATTCTCCTCCTAGCTTGTTGAGTGTTTTTGTCATAAAGGGTTGAATTTTGTCAGACACTTTTTCTCCATCTGTTGAGATGATAATATGATTCTTGTCCTTTATTCTGGTGAGGTGGTATGTTACATTGCTTCTCATGTTGAACCGACCTTGTGTTAATGGGATAAATTCTGCTTGTTCATGGTGTATGCCCTTTCTCTGCTGCTGGATTGCTTTGCCAGGATTTTGCGTCTGGGTTGACGAGGGATGTAGGTCTTTAGTCCTCTTGTGATGTCTTTGTCTGGCTTTAGCCACGTCAATACCGACCTCAGAGACTGAGGTGGGAAGTGTTCCCTCCCCTCTTATTTTTTGGAAGAGATATGAAAGATTGTTGTTAATTATTTAAACATGTGGTGGAATTTCTTTGTAGGATTTTTTTTTTTCCTAATTCAGTATCTTCACTTAGAGATCTGTTTAGATTTTTTGTTTCTTCTGGAGTCAGTTTCAGTAGTTTATATCTTTCTAGGAGTTCCTCCCTTTCTAGATTATTTGTTGCAATCTGTTTACATATAATTGTTCATAGCATTTAAAAACATTTTTTTAACTGCCAAGGTCTCACTGTGTTGCCCAGGCTGGAGTGCAGTGGTGTAATCATAGCTCACTCCAACCTCAGACTCATGGGCCCAAGTGATCCTCCCACCTCAGCCTCCCTAGTATGTAGGACCACAGGCATGCACCACCACATCCAGCTAATTTTCTTTGTCTTTGTTTGGTTTGGTTTTGTTTGAGACAGAGTCTCACGCTGTCACCCAGGCTGGAGTGCACTGGTGCGACCATGGCTCACTGTAGCCTTAACATCCCAGACTCAAGTGACCTTCCCATCACAGCTTCCTGAGTAGCTAGGACTACAGGGGCATGTCACTATGACTGGCCAATTCTTTTAAATCTTAGTTTTGGTAGAGATGGGGTCTCACCATGTTGCCTAGGCTGGTCTCGAACTCCTGGCCTCAAGAAATTTTCCCGTCTTAGCCTCACAAAGTGCTGGGATTACAGACATGAGCTACCACACTCACCCTTAATTTTCTTTACATTTTTTTTTGTAGAGATGGGATCTTGCTGTGTTGCCTGGGTTGATCTCAAACTCCTGGCCTGAAGTAATCCTCCCACTCTGACCTCTCAGAGTGCTGGGATTGTGATGCGAGCCCAGCCGATTCATAGTGTCTTCTGGTTTTAGTCATTCTCTCTTTCATTCCCCCTAGTCAGTCCAGCTAAAGATTTATCAATTTTGTTGATCTATTTGAAGAAACAGTTGGTTTTATTATTCCCTGTGATTTCTCCATTCTTTATTTTGTTAATTTCCACTGTGATCTTCATTATTTCCTTTGGATTGCTTTGAGTTTCGTTTTCTCTTCTTGTTTCTTAAGATGGAAAATTGGCTTATTGATTTGAAATCTTTCAATATAGATAGAATATAGAAACATTTCAGTATAGAAACCTTTCCATGTATATAACTATCTATTTCTATCTGAGTGCTGATTTATTTCATCCCTTAAGTTTTTGTATGTTGCATTTCGCCTTTTTTAAATCTCAAAGTATTTTCTGATTTTTCTGGTGATGTCTTTTACCTCTTGGTTATTTAAGAGTTTGTTTAATTTCCACATATTTGTGAATTTCCGAAATTCCCTTCTGTTATTATTTCTTGTCTTTTTTTGTTTTGAGAGGCAGGATCTCACTTTGTCTCTCAGGCCGGAGTGCAGTGCCGTGATCACCGCTCACTGCAGCCTTGACCTCCCACCTCAGCCTCCCGAGTAGCTGAGATTACAGGCATGCACCACCATGCCTGGCTACATTTTTTTAAATTTTTGTTCTAGAGACAGGGTCTGACTATGTTGCCTAGGCTGTGTTGGAAATCCTGGGCTCAAGCAATCCTCCTGCTTTGGCCTCCCAAAGCATGAGCCACTGTACCTGGCCTGTTAACTGATTTCTTATTTCACCCCATTGTGGCTAAAGGACAGATACTGTATGATCTCCCGTCTTTTATATGTACTGAGAGTTACTTTATTGGCGTGCCATATTTTCTGTCTCGGAGTACTGAAGAGTCTCTCTCCTGCTCCTGTGGGGTGGCGTGTTCTGTAGATGCCTGTCAGGTCTCCTTGGTTGATGGTGGCGTTTGTGTCTCTCCTTCCTGATCTTCTAGTTATGCTGCTGTTGAATGTGGCGTATTGAGCCCTTCAATTGTGTCAGCTTTTGTTTGACACATTTCGAAGCTCTGTCAAGTGCATCCGTGTTTCCATCTGATGAACAGGCCCTTCATCATCTCGACACGTCCTTCTCTGACTCTAGTAAAGAAGGTGGTTGTAAAGTCCCTTTCGTCTGATATTAGTAGAGCCACTCTTTTGATTATTGTTTGCATCGTACCTTCTTTCATCCTTTTATTTTCATTGTATCTCTGAATCTAAAGTGTGTTTCTTGTAGACAGCATATAGTGGGGTTATGTTTGTAATCGATTCTGCTGGTCTCTGCTGTTTGAGAGGGATATCTAATCCATTTACATTCAGTGTGATTACAGAGAAGGCTGGATTTATAGCTACCATTTCTAAATTTGTTTTCTATATTGTCTTTGTCTTTCTTCCTGTATTCGTTTGTGTGTGTGTTAAGTGGACATTTAATTCTATTGTAACATTGTAATTTCTTTGTCTGTTCTACTGGGTTTTTAAAAAGTAATTTTCTTAGGGCTGCTCTGAGTATTACTGTAGCAACTTAATCAGGTGTTCAGATGGACTTAGTCATGTGCAGAAACCCTACTTTGTTCCTGTCGGCTTCCCTGTGCTGTTTGTGTCATGCAGACCCACCTCTTAGATCGTACGCCCGTCAGCAGTCTCCTGCCGCTGTCCCGCAAGTCACATGGAAGAGGAAGTGAGTTGCTGCCGTCTCTGTCGCCAGCTTTGCAGTTGTCTCGCGGGTGCTGTTTGTATGGATTTGCGTGGAGTGTCTTGGACTTCAGCCTAAGTGTTTCTCGTAGGACAGATCTTCTGGCAATGAATTCTCTTGATTTTTGTTTATCTGGGAGTGTTGTCATTTCTCCTTCATCTTTGAAGACTAATTATGCTGGATATAGCTCTCTTTTTCTTTCAGTCCTCTAAAGATGTCGTCCCACTGCCCTCTGGCCTCTGTGGTTTTCCGGTAGAAGCCAGCCACTGACCTGGCGGGTGGCACAGCCCTGTGTCTGGGTCTCTCCGGCCTCCGTGGTTTCCGTGGTAGAAGCCAGCCACTGACCTGGCGGGTGGCACTGCCCTGTGTCTCGGGGTCTCCGGCCTCCGTGGTTTCCGTGGTAGAAGCCAGCCACTGACCTGGCAGGTGGCACTGCCCTGTGTCTCGGTCTCTGCTTCTGACTGTTTTACTGTGAGTGTCTAATTATGGGTCTTTGAGTGTGTCCTACTTGCAGTTCTTTGAGTTTCGTGGATATAAAAGTTAATATTTTTCAGCAAATTTTGGGTTATTGTTCCTCGAAATATTGTGTCCCTCCTCTCCCTCCTCTCCTCAGACTCCAATTGTGTGTGTTGGTGTGGAGCCAGGCAAAGCTTCGGGGGCTTCCCTGATGTACCCTTACTCCTTTCTCTTCTCGGAACGGAGCATCTCAGCTCACCTGTCTTCAAGGTCATGGGTGCTTTTGCCAAACAAAACCTGATGTAAGGCTGCTCTATGAATTTTTTGTTTCACTTATTGTACTTTTCTACTCCAAACTTCCATTTGCTTCTCTTCTGTAATTTCTGTATCTTTACTCATATTCTTTATTAGTGAAACATCATTCTCATACTCTAATTCTGAGGAACAGCTTTCCATAGTTATTTGAACATATTTATAGAAGCTGATTTAAAGTACTTGTCTAGGCTGGGTGTGGTGATGCACACCTGTAATCCCAGCTACTCGGGAGGCTGAGGCAGGAGAATCTCTTGAACCTGGGAGGCAGAGGTTGCAGTGAGCTGAGATTGAGCCAGTGCACTCCAGCCTGGGCCACAGAGCAAGACTCTGTATCAAAAATAGATAGATAGATAGATAGATAGATAGATAGATAGATAGATAGATAGATGTAGAGAGACTAGATAGACAAAGATGTGCGGACAGACGGACAGACAGAGGACCAGTCTAGTAAGTTTAACATCACGGCTTATTCAGGGCAGTTCCTGTTGATGGCCTTTTTTCTCATGTATTAGCCAAGGAAGTAACATCGTCTGTCTTTGTGGTCTCATACATATTTTTTAAGACTGGACACTTTAGTAGTGTGCTGTGCAACTCTGGAAGTCAGATGCCCTCTCCACGAGCATGTTGTTTTCTGTTGCTGTTACCATTTGTTTAGTGTACGGACTGATTTGAAGCATCCACCTGGTGAGCTTCATGTTCAGCCGGTGACTGGACAGAGGTCCTCTTCAGTGCTTTGCACCAGTAACTCCTGGTTCTGCCAGATGTGCGTGCGTGCTGAGCGTGCCTTCAGCGTTCACACAGGCAGC